TAAATCATGTGTTAAATGTGTTAGGACTGTCTTTATGTAATGAAAATGTAACAGGTCTAGGTGACTGGCTTTAATATCACATATTAGTTTACCCTGATTTTTTTTTCTATGCTCCGCAGTTCAAGTGGTCTTTAACACTTTCCCAGTGTTTCAGCAAGACTTGCACTATATGTGTTAACCCCTATATATGAACTTAAAGTGATGTATTTTAAGACTTTTATTGGGAAAAATGCCAGAATATTTTTAAAAAGGAATCAGTACATACAGCTTAGGGAAGATGTGCTTTTTCCATTAGAGTAATTAATATTTGTATGGTCAGACTCTTTATCAAAAGAGTTGAGGTAAGGCTTAGAAACAACTTATTTTATGTTGCCCAAAAGAGTCATCAAAGACTACAGCTATACTATGTAATTTGTTTACTTTGTATTGCTATCACATGGTGCTTAACTTCATATTTTTGTAGGTCACATTGGTATTTCATCCTGTTCCTAATTAATCAGCAAACAGAAGTGTCCTAAAAACAATTATGGGTGTGCACTGTAAAGACATAGATCATCCCCAGCATTATGTACTCTAGAGAAGAAATTTAATTTCAAACTTTCAAAAGCCATAAAAAGATTTAGATTATGTCATTGCAAATGTTAGAACAAGTTAAGTACTTGATTAGTTAATGATGGTATGGGCCTTTCATATCTATTATGAAACTTCCATACACTGAAGATCAAGGTCAGTGCTTTGATGCTACTGCCTCCTATTTTAATTAGTCCAGGGAAGAAGGGATTGTTCTCTCACGTAGTTTCTTCAAGATCTTTTGTGTGATGATTAATTCTTTTGACTGCTTGACATCTCTTTTTTAACATTGCTGTGATATAAATAAATGCTATCCCCAACTTATGTGTAAGTAAAATATTACCTAATTCAGTGATGTGGAAAATTAAATTGAATTATCTAACAGTATTCATCATTAAGGCAGCTCAATTCAGGTACTTTGTAACTGAACGTGTATTTTCCTCAAGCGATTTAAAATTGTTAGGACCCTAGTGAATCCCAGTGTGCTATTCTTAATTCTTCCATAAATTCAGTTAATAATTTAGTTTTGGAGTTTTCTGCATTTCAAAATTCTAGCAAAGATCAGTGACTATGGAATGTTTCTTGGCCACGTATTACAAGACATCTTAGGAAAAAAGAAAGAAACGAATACTAGCTGAACAGTGGCTGTTTTGTGTGCTGTCTGGAGCCATCCTAAATACTTCACCAGTATAGATGAATGAACACCAAGTCTTGTCTAATCTCATCATGTTTTAATGTTATATAAACACTCTATAAGATTTTTTTTTGTGAATACATCAGTGAGCCATTTATGGGGGGAAATAAATGCCACCTATTAACCAGGCTGTGAGAGGAATTTGAAAAATTAAATAATGATTGATTAAATGATTTTCCTTCATGAAAATTAAAGTTCTTGATTCTAATATTGTCATTCTCGTTTTTGATGCTTAAAATAAGATCCTCGTGGCATTTGATAAAGAAATAACTTGATGTACACCAGTAAATATCAAGAATCCTTAAAATGCAATCAGAAAATTCAGTTTTGACTATTGAACTATTTTGTAATAAGACTGTGCAAAGCCTGAGGGGTTTTGCTGCACAGCTCATTCTTCCATATTGTACAAATTGAGATAGAACAATTGCTTTTCATTTCTAAAGCTGCTATAAACAAGTCACATTTTCCATTTAAAAACAAAGGGACAATTTCCTATTGTGCATGTAAGTCAGAGGTGATGGAGGAAGAGAGATACTTGGATTGCGTGGAAAAAATATTAGTGACTTAAAATAGACAGACAGTCCCTTTCAAAGTAGCTAATCTCCTTCACACAAAGAGGAACAAAGAGACTATTAAAACTCTTGTTCTGGTAAGGGTGATATAAAAATATGCTCTAAAAATTATTTGGGGTAAGTTCTATGGCCTGTATTATACATTAGGTCACAGAGGACCCTTCTGGCTTGGAATCTATGAAAATGAATCCTACTGAAGTTTTTTTTTCTTCTACCTTTAGTTGCCATGTATCGAGAACCATCCTTGCATGATGTTGGAGAAACAGTGCCAAAGGCTGGGGTAACTCCAAGCAAAAGCACAAGTGCATCTGCAATAATGAATGGAGGCAAACCAGTTAACAAGAGTAAGACGACATAGCCGGATCCTCACAGGTGTTGTGACTTATTAAGCCCTGAGTACAGTTGAGCAATTTATCCTTGCCGGACTCTGCTACTTCGGTGTCTGTGGATCAGCTTGAGGCAAGTGAATACTTGCACTTTGCTGTTTCTGAACTAAATTGTTGCAAGTGGATAAATCTCAACATGTAGCTCCTCCCACAACAAGAAGACACCTGGATAACCAGCTAAACTCAGACCATGGAATGCCCTACCAGATATGGAATGCCTTTTGAATATTTTTTCTGTGACTGTGACACTTCATGTGAATGACATACTTCACAAGTACACTTGATACCTTGCCTGCTGACAGTTACCCATAATCCCTTTTTGAGTCCAGTTTCAGCGAAATCCATGTGTTTAAGTTCTATTTTGTAGCACACAGATGATATCAAGTAATTTCTAGTTAGATGCTGTAAACCTGTGCTATTATGGATTTCTCTTCTTCCCTTTTTTTTACAAGGCTGCTTGCTCCACTGTCTGTGACCTTTTGCAGGGATTGTGTTTCTCTACAATTTAAATGTTGCAGGTGGCTTAGTTCTGAAAGCAATCAGGGAATCAGGAAGCCTTCAAAAACCTATTATTATGAATTATATCTATGAAGACTAGGATCATTGTCTCTGACTTAGAATATTGGTAAATGTGAATACACTTTAGTAACAGATACCATGCTCCTGCGGTTGGCATTATTGTGGTGGGAAAAGTGTCAAACACGACCAGTAGAAAGTTTTTTGAAACTAGTGTTTGACATCCCTCTATAGTTTCTTTTTGTGTGTGTGTTTTATACATATCACAGGCTTACTGGTAATGGTAACATTTGCCTTGCCCAGCGAGCAAGACCCACTCATTTTTGGGAAAGTGGGTCCAAAGAACTATGTAGGCCTTGTAGGCCTGAATTAAGGCTCATTTTTCACCTACTAATCCTCATTATTTGAAAAATAATAATTAAGACTAACAAGAATTGCGCTACCTAAATCCAGTTCAGATCTAATCCTTTCCTGTTTTTAATTAACTGAATTTAATGCCATCATTATTTTGGCTGTTTTCCACTCTTACTCAGCAAAGCACGGGCAAGGATGATGTGTTCTTTTTAGCAGCACCAATGCAAAGGGTAGTTATAAGTTATACTTTAATATTTTTGGTATTAATTTTTTTAAACTGGGTCTATTAGAAAACATTTAATTTTTTTTTAGCTTAGCATGCAGAGTCCAGTCCTATGTATTTCACCCCATAACCCAGTACATACCTCTAACCCACCTTTTTAGGATATTCCCACCAAACTGCTAGATAATCGGTGCCTTGCCTTGCTTTCTGTATGCTATACATTCTACTACATGAAACTAGAGGAAAGCAAACCCATTATGAGATTGAGTCCTTGAATCATGTTCAATTGCTTCATGAGAAATACTGGTGACGCTTCACTGGTGTCAGTTAACTGTCATGAAACCAATTGAACAACAAAATAAAATGGGTAATAAGCTTTAGACAATACAACAAAGATGCCATTATAGTGTTAAATACTGTAGGTAAAGAGTCAAATATTTAGGCGCATACTTTCAAAAGACTGAAATAAGGCTATTCTGTGTGTGCTTAATAGGCATTTGCTTCTCAGAAAGGGCGACAAGGACCAAACTGTACCTGAGTTTTGGCAAACTGTGTGACAACACTCTATTGGCCTCTTGCTGTTATCATCATATTTAAGGGGGACAAACTTCATCCTTCCCTTTTGAGCAATTGTAGTTACTGAAAAAAATAATTTTCTCATGGCATTATGCAGAGCTCTGTGACAGGCCACCAGTTGTTTCAAATTCCTGGCCTGTTTAGCTGCATACTGATTAACTCTTCATGCTTATACAGTTTTCATATGGGAGTTCCGTTTTAATAAGTAACACAACATATTGTTCAAGTAGGTTATTGTAATGCTGCTGTGAGTCTTTTGACAGTTTAGGGTTCCTTGTTTATATACCGTGTAAAACAGACAAAGTTTGGGTCTTTTTAAAGAGCCGAGTGAAGCATATCAAGTGAAGTTTGTTTTGTAAGTATTTAAGCATTTAAACAAAGACAAAGCTACTTCAATGCTGTGACAAAATTTGCAAAAAGTAACTTTTGGCCCAGATCATCCCCTCACCCGGTGACTTTAAAGGAGAAAATCTCCATGAGATACCCCTTGTGGTGAGCCTCCGATCTCATCCTACTAGGACGGATGGGACTTGTGTGCCTCCCGCCCCCCTAACAAAAAAAGCTATGAAGCCTCCCCCTGGTGGATCAATAGGAGGCCAGTACTACCAACGTAGAACTCTGCCCTGTCTCTCTGGTAGTGTCCTGGCATTGGAGCCTTGCTGACCTCCCCGCCCCGCTCACTTCTGCTGTAGCGCCTCTTGGGATTGGGAAGGGAGTTGTGCAGAGAAGCTGCATTATCTTGTGTCTAATGTTCACAGGGAGCCTATGTGCATTCTTGCCCTGTCCCACTCAGTCTCCAGCCTGCCCAACTTGGACCCTGGACTGCACAGAGGTGGCTCTGCAGGGTCCGGAGGGTGAGACAGTGCCATAGAACTGCCTGAGGGTATGCACTGAGGATGTAGAGAGCACAAGCTGGTCCTTTGAATTTCAGTTCTCCGGGACTGGTGTCCCAAGGCCATATACATTACCATTTTCAACATTAAACCCTACATCTCAGGCAGCTATTTCTCTGCCAACCAGTTGACTAGTTACAATTAAGGCTGAATTTATTTTTGTAAATGACTAGTATGTACTGTAAATGTATCACCAGTTTTATTTTTGTTTACATGGGTTGTCTGTAAGGGTGTTTAATCCTGTGAATGGATGTCTTACAACAATTTATTCTAAAGTCTGTTTAAACGTAGAGCACAGGGGTCTTTGTTATTTGTGTTTTGGTTACGCCTTTAATTTTGTCTCTTGTCTCATCTGTTGCATGGGAAGAGGATGGCAATGATGAACTGCATGTAGTAGGCTATGCGTATCAAGAACTGTTGGTATGTATTACTAAATTTACATACATATATGCAAAGAGTTTGTTTGCATTGTACAGTTTGTGTTTATTATCATTTGTTGTATACACAGAGGCAACATATTGAATAAAATATTTATATGAAGGCATATTGAAAAACAAAACAACTTTATCAAACAAGCAGAATGTGCAAAATAACATTGCACTGGCCACAATGTAGTAAAACTACGTAGATAGGTTGGCAAACTCAATTCTCCCCCTTTACCATGCCAAAGAAAATTTTAGCTCCTTAATATATTACCTCTCCTGCTGTTTTCCAGGATAAGACTTCACCATTTTGTTCCCTCTAAAATTAATGTTGCTGTTAAGTGAAAACTATTTTCAACTGTCTGTTACTACTAAAGTACTGTATAGTAAACCTGCTGAATTAATTTATATTTACAGATTTTGTGTTTTGTATTTCCATGTACAGCAATATATGCGACTCTACAGTATGCCAGACCTTTTGCATGCTGTATTTTGTATTGCTCCTTCCTTTCTTTTTATTTAATCCCAGAGAGCCTGGTTTGCACAGTGGTCCAAAAAAGAAATGCCAATCTCTTCACTATCTCACTAATGCACAGGTATATTAATAATGCAGATGGGCATTATCTTTTCATTTTCCCTCTGAAACAAAATTCATTTTTATTTCAGCAACACTTTTGGCAAAATACCAGTCATGCATACACATACACAAAATCCAGTTCTTAGGTAGATATGTACAAATTGAACAAAGCACTATTAAAAAGTGTTTTCTAGATTCACATGAACCTTTACCAGCTTGGTCATGTTTATGAAAAACTATAGTAGCTTCTAAAGAAAGATCACAAGTGCTTTGTAGCTCACTTAACACCTCTTTTGCTTCTTCTCCTATTCTTTAAGCAATGCTCAAATCAACATGTTTATGTATTGTCATTTTTTCATCCATATGATTTGTATAACAAAAATAACCCACAAAAGAATAAAAGGACCTCCTTTCACACTGTATTTACCTGAAAGAATCTTGTAAAGCTCATAACTGTTTACACACAGAGGGACAAAATCTCTGCTGCTGTAATGTTATAGCAGTCAATCGAGTAGAAAAAGTTTGGCCCATGCATAAAGGTGTGTCTTGTTGATCCATCTGTTCTATGGTACAAAGTAGAAATATTCAACTCCATTCAGGTTAGAAAAAGTAGGAAAATTAGACATAGTAAAGCTATTATAGTGTTGCTAAATGCCCCTTTGGATAAATTTGTGATCTGTGCAATACATTTCAAGATTTTTTCAGGATGTCTAATGCAAATGCTATGATTTATTTTTTTTAAATGTAATAAAATCTTTGTTCTAGAGCCTAGTCATAGAACTATTCAACTTCGCTTTATTCATCCCCAGACTATAGTATGAAATATAATTTAGATGTAAAGTGAGTCGCCATTCCAGGAAGGAGGAGGGCAGTGCATCAAAAGCACCAAGCCAGATACATGATTAAATCTCCAGCTACATGCTGCTGAAAGACAGCTTGCCCTTTACCCTCCCAGTAATCCTTTCCCTTTGCTAAATCATGGATACAAGCAAGACAGTGAACAGCAAGTTGATGTCTGAAACCCGAGAAGATGTTATATAGAGTGGCCACAATCCTGCAAAGTGCTGAGAGTGCTCAGAAGTAGTACTTAGCACTTTTCAGATGGTGCCCTTTTTATCACAAGAATGGAGAACTGTATATGTGGCCAGTATCAAACTCCCCCCCCCTTATCTAACCAGCTTTCTCGTTCTGGAATTACTGTTTGCCCAAGACCTGGAAGCAGTGACATAATTAGTATATGTGAATTAAATGGGAAATATTTCACTCCTTCACACCTCTTTTTACTTTTACAATTTAGGCAGACAGTATTTTCACATACATGGAACAATAATATTTATCTTCCAGTCTTATTTTTATAGCAAGGGAATAAGCTACATAGAAGATGTACTGAGACTCATATCACTGGTTTCCTCAGTATGGGAAAAAAAGATGTTCAAGCCACACACACACACAAGAATAAAAAATGGAAAAGAAAATAGATATCCATTACATTTTGAGCAGTCTTGGTAAATACTATATGGCTCATAGCACAGTTTTGCTTTGATCATTTGTATTTTACTTAATCCCAGGCCCTAGCTTTGTCAGAGAATTTTAAAACTTTTTTTTTTAAAAAAGGCTATATTAATCCACCCCAGTAGCTTTGAAAATTAAAAAACAAACCTGTTGTGGAAATGTTTAAAAGTTTGTCTTACTAGAAATTAGAATCACTTCTATGATTTTAGTTTACAAACTTAAAAGGAAAACAAACAAAATCACAAAGTAAAATAAAATATATCAAATATTACATGACACGCAGATATCCAGCAATTTATGGCTTTACAGAGAATCATTTTCCACTCTAGGAATGTGTCTGCCTGAAATATCATAGGTAAGATACAGTATTTATATCTTTGTTTGCTAGTTTGTTTAAATGATCCCAAGTATCTATTCAATCTAAACAACATTGATTTTCTATTTTGTTAGCTGTACATAAATGCGAGACATAATGAAGCTTGATTTCCTTTTTTCTTTCATTGACTCAGAAATACCCACACCTGTAAGACATTTATTACTATAAGAGACTTCAGGTCTGTGTTAATTTATATATAAATAAAACCAACAAGCTTGTGTTCACCAGTCAAAGACTAGCGTTGGCAAATGTTAAAATGACACATTGAAATACCTAATCTCTGTACAATTTTAACGGTTGCAACCATAAAATATAAGATGTGATTTCAAAACTTGTTTTACTTCAAAGTTTGTTTATGCTGCATCAATACATTTTAGAACTCTGCCTGATATTTTGGTTATCTAAAGAGAGGCAGTAGCAGCTTTTGGGTATAGTTGTCTCTGTGAATGTGCAGAACTCCCATTAATAAGTTATGCACAGACATTTAGAGGTGACTGGATTATGTCTCCCTGAGAACATGGGCTTTGAAAAGCTATATATTTATGTTTAAAGCTACACATTTAAAGAAAATGCAGTAAGAGCAAGAGCAAGCTAAATGGGGGGGAAATGATTGTTCAAAACCTTTCAATAAGCGCACTTAAAGTTTTCACACTATAACTGTTACATGTTCTGTACTGTTGTATTTTCCAACTTAAATAATCAGTGTCCTTTCTATAAGAAAACAAATTTCTAGTGTAATAATGGAAATACCTTTTTTCAATTAATACACAGGTTCCTTATTTCTTAGTCTTGTATCAAACTAAAAGCCTGAAACTTGACACCTAAATCACAACATAACAATATCAAAATTTGATATTTGTGATTTAATCAAATTTAACAATATGTAATCACTTTTGAAAAGAAAATGTACATATTTTTTCGCTCTGAAGAATTAAAGGGCTGCCAAACCTACAAGTTGGGGGGAAAAGATTCAAATGTAAATAACTTAGGGAAGTCCCAATATAGTTGTGCATTTTTCATAATTCAATGTGAATTTCACACTGAGCAGCATTTCACCATTGATAAGAAATAAAAAATTTGTTCATACCACTGCACTGTTTGTATTTACTGTTTGAAATCTGCAATTAAATTATTTTGTTTCCATCATCTGAACATCTTTCATTGACAGCAGTGTGCTATAGAGTGTACCTAATTCAGCTGATGGTCAGACTCCCAGCTTCTATAAAAGTAGTAAGATTCAATGAATATCGTGTGTGATAGTGTAATCTGTTCCGAAACAGTGAGTCCTAATAGCATACAGAATTGGCATCCTAAAAGTTATCTAATACATTTTCATGTGCTTTTCTTTTTAAGATGACTAGGTAAGTGTACATACATAACACTATGATAAAAGTACATACAAGTTATAAGATATGTATTAAATATAGCAACTCATTTAACTGGATTTTTAAAAAAATTCTCACCCTACAGGTTATGTATTTGAGAGTGTAGTATGAAGACTAGATAACCAGCTTAATGATATTGTAACCACAGAAATCAAGATTTTTTTTTAATTTCTCTGTTCTAGCAGTGGGGTCTGGTTTTATAATTTGGATCATTGACCTACTCTCTGGGGTTGTTTAGGTATTTGGATCTCAGTTATACAACTGCAGATCTCTGACAAAAAATAAAATAATTAATTTACAGCTTCTCTTGTTATTGGAGCTGGAAAACAATCAGAATTGGAAGGGAAAAACACAGCCAAATAATAATATATTTGACCGACACCAGAAATGACATCAGATACATTTTTTGACAAATATCCATCCAGCTCTAGTCTTTTATATGAACGCCATTTCATTATGTAATGGTGTCGAGATTTGACAACAAGCTAAACTATGCAATAAAGCTTTCTTGTGTCACTTCAGTGAAGCCAAGAATTCAACCTTAAGACTTTTAAGGCCAATCCCAGTCCCACTGAAGTCAATGTGAGTGTTGCAAATGAATTCAACAGGAGCAGGAGTAGACCTGCAATTGGTTGTTATGAAATACAGAAACTTACATTGGTCTATTTGAATATTTCTGGTGGTTATTCTATGTGGTTTGCCTTGCATTTAATTGTTCTAGCAGCCTAAAAAACCAAACCAAACCCCTCAGTCCTGGATGCTCCATGTTATGATTAAGGGTATTCTGTCCCAAGCCAGATTTCACAAGCATTCCCATTCCATCCTTCCCAGCATTCACAGTTTCCACAGCTACATACACCATTGCCTAGAACAAAATAAACAGGGGATAATTACCATAATTGAAATGTACTGCATTAAACTGTGTTGTTATGGGAAGAAACAAGCCATAATAAAACATTTTTATTGTTCCTTTACATATTTTTTGTTAAGAGAGCACTTTACATTTGATTAAGCAGCCACCAAAACCATACATTTTCAAACAATTAATGGCATCTTTAGAGCAATGCCATTAGCAGAATAATAAATATGGTAATTATGCCATCATGGTTTGGACCCAAGCTGTTTCTATGCTGTCTTAGTGTTCCCACTATACTTCAAGATGTAAGGAAAAACTAGAACTATTTTAGCTAAAGAGAATTTGTTGCAAAGAGAATAGTATTATGAATAAACCTTTGAAATTGAAAAGCACCTTTTTCAGCTGAGGAGCTCAAAGTGTTTGACAAAAAATAGTCTCATGAAATCTCTGTGTGACAGGGTATTATCCCCATTTTGCAGATGGAGAAACTAAGGCACAGAGAGGACCAATATTTTCAAACCCCTCCATCACATGTGGGTGACAAACTCAAGTGGAGTGGTGGAAAATCAGGCCCCAGGCACTCAAACACAGTGAACACTTTTGGAAATTTAGTCAGCCAAGTAATCAGTTGCAGATTTGTGAATAGAACCTGAAACTCATGACTCCATCTTTCATGCTCTGATACCCTTCCTCCTATTCTTTGTTTCAGCAGACACATAGTTCTGTCTTCTGCCACCTCTGTATCCATTGGCAAATAGAAGAACATTGCTAAGCAAAGATTTTTCTAGATGGAAAGATGCAGAGATTGTCCTCTACGACAGTGGTTCTCAAACTAGGGCTGCCACTTGTTCAGGGAAAGCCCCTGGCGGGCTAGGCCGGTTTGTTTACTTGCCGCATCTGCAGGTTCAGCCGATCATGGCTCCCACTGGTCGCGGTTCACCGCTCCAGGCCAATGGGGGCTGCAGGAAGCAGTGCGGCCCGAGAGACGTGCTGGCCGCCCAGACGCGGCAGGTAAACAAACCGGTCGGCCCGCCAGGGGCTTTCCCTGAACAAATGGTGGCCCTACTTTGAGAACCACTGCTCTACGATTTTCATCATGGAACACACAGCAAGTTAATCAAACAGATCACATATTCCTGCTTGTCACTAGATTTTTCTCCCATCTCTGTTAAAAGCAAGTGTTGGCAGTCTACCCATTTCCCTTTGCATCTGCCATCTAAACCCTGAGATAGGTGCAAAAGACTTTAGTCAGCATCCAACATGTCATAAAAAATACTGTCAGGCATCTCAGCATCCCAGTGAGAGTTGTCTTGATGCCAGGGAAGTCTATGAAAAAAACATGACTATTCCCCTCATCATAATATAAGCACCTGCTCCTGCTGCATTACCAAGGATTATTAAACTAAATGGTTTCTAAATTCATTACATACATTCATCTTAGAAAATGAAGTAAAGATGGTGATAGCAACAGAAACCACTGAATCACTACCTTCTCATACATGTTCATTTCCATACAGGAACAGGTGGTAGACAAAAGCATTTTACTTTTTGGATGAATTTCACAAGTGATTTAATTATTGGTATTCATGCTTTGGATTTCAATTTTCCTTGCAAAGTGTTAAATTGATTATTCATCACAACATAAAGCAACACTCTCCTAACAGCTAAAGTGATTTTAATAATAGGAAAGTGTTCCTCCTTTCCATCAATGGACAAAGAGAACTTGCTGGGTTTTGTCTAACTTCAATTTGCATTTATGCACAGTCTGCATCTCAGAGCAATTAAGGATTAGTCAGTACTGCACCTGTGCAAATGAGACCATCATGTTTGTCGCAGTCTCTGTCATCACATTCACAAAATTCCCCTGAAATGTACCATTCCTGGGGGGAACAGATGCACTTTCCACAGTGACAGGAACCTGAAATCACAAAGATTATTACTCACAATCATCGGGCACCAGCACTTTTCTGTCTGGGATATAACATCTCAGACACAGGCACAATTGCCATCTAACAAGCTAGTGTCTAAAAGAAGATCATCAAGCTAAAAGCTTATTGAATAAAATGATCCTTTAGAGGTCAGCCTGAGTATGAAGTGGTGTTCTATGTAATGCCTTGATTTTGCTTCTTTTATTTATTCAGGACTCAAATTTAGAGGTTTCGCTTTTGTGCCAGAGCACCACAATCAAGGCTACTCTTCCCAGGAGCTGTTCTGCTTTGTGGCTAGATGAGTCAAAATCATGCCTGGTCCAACCTTATTGAAGTCAATAAAATTGCACCGGGATGAAAAATGGCCCGTAGTGTTTAAGGCACACACATAGCACCTTGCTGCTCTCTGGCCTTTTCTTTCCATTTGTTTTGGATCACTACGGGTTGGATTTTCAAAAAGCCTAAGTGCCTTAGGAGTGCAGGGTACACTGACTTTCAATAGGATATGCTCCTAAGTCATTTGGACAATTTTGTAAAATCCCACTCTAGCCCCCTTTTCAAGAGGCTTTCCTTTATTACAGTAGGGAGCCATCAACTGTTCAGTTCTGTACAAAACAGAGAAACACATGATGATCCAGCCCCAGAGAATGTACAAAGATATTTAATTCACAGAAATCTATTCGGGGCCTGATCTAAAGCCCACAACATTTTGCATCTTTCCATTAAGTTCAAAGGGCTTTCGCTCAGGCCCACAGTCAAAACTCAAAGTGGAAACTTTCCTTTAAATTTTGAGCTGTGTCAATCAACTGACCATTCCCCAGAAAAATCTCCACAACAAACCCGGTACTATTTATCAATTGAATCTATTTCTATTCATTAAAAACATCAAAGTAGCACAGGTACTGACCCTCTTTAAAAATGTAACATTCACTGATTTACTGTAGGTTGAGCAGAGTTAATTTACTGCATTATTGTAGGGATAAGTTGTCTTAAACTATAACATATTGTAATATACAAATAAAGGACTTATACTTGGGAACAGAGACTTGAGCAGAGGTGGGCAAACTATGGCCTGCAGGCCACATCCGGCCTGCGAGACCTTCCTGCCTGGCCCCTGAGCTCCTGCCCCGGGAGGCTCTCCCCCGGCCCCTCCCCTGCTGTTCCCCCTCCCACACAGCCTCAGCTCGCCCCGCCGCCAGCACAATGCTCTGGATGGTGGAGCTGCGAGCTCCTGGGGTGGGGCAGCTGCAGAGCCATGGCCTGACCCAGTGCTCTGTGCTGTGCAGTGACATGGCTGGCTCCAGCTGGGTGACATGGCTGCCTGTCCTGGTGCTCTGGGTAACACGGCTGTAGCACCGCCAGCCACCGGTGCTCCAGGCAGCGTGGGAAGGGGGCAGGGAGTGGGGGGGTTGAATAGAGGGCAGGGGAGTTCGGGGTGGTGGCCAGGGGGCAGGGGTGTGGATAGGGGTTGGGGTGGGGAACAGGGGGATTGAATGGGGGTAGGAGTCTCGGGGAGGCAGTCAGGAAGGAGAGAGGGGGTTGGATGGGGGTAGCGGGGGGCAGTCAGGGGCAAGGGG